CGGCGAGGCAATCGGCGGCCTCCCGCCCCCACAACCCCTCCCGTCGTTGCAGGAGCATCGCACAGCACAGGCAGCTCAGCCCGTGCGGGGGCTGCTCGAGATGCACAAAGAGGAAATCCCAGACGGGGTAGACCCGTCGGGTCGGAAGGGCGTGCGCGAAAAGGGCGAGCACCCAACCCACCGCGAAGTGCTGTGGGGAGAAGTCGCACTCGCGGAAGAGATGGGTCGCGAGCAACGGATCGCAGTATTGCAGGCAAAGCGCGATGTGATGAAGCTGCTCCTCCAGGGTGAAAGGGCGGGGGGGGGGTGGACGGGATCTAAGATTTCCCGCCCGACGGCGTCGGGATGGGGGTGATGGTAGGGGAGATAGCGTTGAATCAGGTGCAGGAGGGTGACCCCGACGAGGGCTTCATCCGTAAAGCTCACGGACAGGAGCACCGCACAAAGACTGTCGATCCCTTGCCAATACCCCAGTGCGGGGCTTAACGCCAGACAGCTTTTGATCACCCGCCTAAGCTTTTCATGCCCGTCCTCAGAGGCTAGGAGTGGATGGTATTGATGACAGCGAGGGATATCCACGCTGAGCTGACGATCGATCGCAAAAGACGACGCCGTGGCGGCGGCGGCGGCAGCGACTTTGCCACGCGCGTAAAGCCGCTCGCGTTGAGGGGCTGGAGGAACCCCCAACAGGACCCCCCAGACCTCCCCACGAATCGTAGGTGGGATGGGAACAATCACGGTATTCAACGCACGGCTTTGTTCAAGGAGAAAGGCGCGCACGGCCCGCGCGCGGTCGGCAAGGGGGGTTGTGAAGCTCATCCGCCGCCGGAGCTCCGCGATGAACCACAGCTGCCGCGCGACCTCCCGCTCGAGCGGGGGTTGGAGAGCGCGGAGCAGCCTTGGATGGATCCCACCCGCTTCCCCGTCGGTGCGCCCGGCGGGGATCCCCCCTTGGGGGCCACCGAAAAACATCCGCAAAGATCCCCCCACGCGACGGGGATGGGGATCGCTATGGGGTTGGGGAGCGCGCTGTGGGTTCGAGCCGCGGCCGCGCAGCAGCTCCCGGATCGTTCCCTCGCTCAGAAACACGGTGGGGGTTGGCAACAGCGAGGGAGGCGTGCCGGGTGGGGCGATGGCGGAGAGGTAGGCCGATAACTGACCGCGCTCCGTGAATTGGCGAATAAAGGGGTGGTTGGCGAGGACGTCATCCGGGCTCCCATGCGCGTCCGTTTCCTTTGGTGGTCGGTCGGCCTCCGAGCCGATCCCCCCCCCTGCGGGTGGCGCCTTCGCCGGCTGGATTGACTCCTTTGGGAGCTGCCGCAGCTGCTGCCGCGAGGCCACACGCAACGCGTCGTTCGAGGAGGGTTTCTTCCGTGAACACTCGTGTAAAATGCCCTGTTCGATGAGTCGCATGAGCAAGGAAAAACGAACCCCTTGTCGGGCTATCCCAGTGCTCTCGGCGCCATCCCGGGAGGAGGTTTCAAGTTCAGCGGTGTGCAGCCACTCCTGAAGCTCACTCCACACCTCACTGATAAACCACCCATCACCCTCACGGACCTCTTCCCCCCCTTTGTCGGTGTGTGGTCTCCAACCACGAAGCGCATGCAGATTGCTTTCTGGCAGGAGCGGCAGTAAGGGGATTCGAAGACGGTGGAGAACGTGATAAGACGTTAAGGGCCTGCCAGGCGACCCCGGTCTGCATGCGATCCCAACGTCTTCCGGCACCACACTGGAAGCGATTCCGATCTTACTAGACGTCAACCACGAGGTGCCTTCGACCACCTTCCTTTTTTCTTCATCCGTCGAATTTGGCAGAGGCGTAGTTTCCATTCCCGTTCCCGTACTCGGATCTTTTTTTTTTAACCCAGGGGAGGTAGGTAGTGCGCAGCGGCGAAAGGCCTGCCAACGTGCGTCTCTCGTCCAACACAGCCCTGTCGTCGCGACCTCGTGGAGTAGACCGGTGATGAAGTCCTTCCCGTATCGGAGCTGGACGTACCCCAGCCAGTCCTCGGCAAGGCGCGTGGGATCCGGCGAGGGTTGGGGTGGATTCGTAGGGTTACCGACCGCGGACGAGGCGCGATTTCTATCGCGCGGGTTCGACGCGTCGAACCCGCGCACGACGCGGCCGAACGCCTCTAACGTGGCGTAGAGAAAGTTCTGCGCAGCGGGCAGCGCGATGGAGTGGTACCGCACTAAACAGAAGACGAGATCGGCGTAGATGGAATGCGTCGGCGTCGGCGCCCCGCATGCCGGCATCGTCGCCTCGGCAGAAACGGACGCGAGGGAGGCCGGTGAAAGATGGCAGAGGTTGGCGTCGTAGAGATTAAAACCGCACAGCATCGCCTCGATCACAATCACCGCGATATTCCACGCATCATCGGAGAAACGGTGGATTACAAGCACCCCCCCTTGCGCTTCACCCGACTCGTGTGTGCCCGCCTTTGCGCACCTCGAGCGCAATCTCACATAACACTCGGGCGATAGATACGGCGCCACCATCGCCGCGCTGAGATCATCGTAGCTCACGTCAAAGAGCGGTGTCGCGGTCTTCCCCTCGGGGCTTTCGCCGAGAAGATCTGCCGATGAGGGCGCCTGGAGGCCGCGCAGGAGGGTGGCTAAGGGATACCGCAGAACGTACCACGTCCGCCGCGAGGTCGGCGCGACGCCGTGGGAATGCCCTCCCAACTGCACCCCAACTCCCGACGCGGTTATCGGACCGAAGGCGCGATCATCCCCCTCTTCTAATCCACCCTGAAGGTCGTCAGGGGCACCCCCCCACAACCGATCTCGCCGCCGCCACGCCGCCAACCACACCGCCCAGAGCTCCCGCCAAAGCCGCCGGATGGCATCCTCTGGCATCCCGTGGTATTCGCTCACCCCGCGGTAGTGAAACAACTGATCTTCTAAGGTGTAGCGGACGTCCTCGTGGATGAGGATCCACCGGTTTGAACTCCGCAGCATCTCCAGTGGGACCATGAGGTGCGCCCCGAGCGTGATCATATCTTGCACCACCGCCCTCATCGGCGTGGCCTCGTCGCCGCGGCGGAGGACGACGTCATGGAGGAGCTGTCGGTGAATTACCACCTCCACGGGGGAGATGTTTTCCGCCTCGCCATTTACCCCCTTTGCCGCCGCGCGGAACTCGCCGCTTCCACTTGAAAACTCTCTGTTCTCAGATGGAAGGGCCCTTTTTACGAACAGCCCGGCGGCGGCGTCCTTTAACCAGGTCGCCATTTGCCCTTCCACATCAATCGATCCCGCGTCGTCCGGGCCCGCGTTCGCCAGCTTCTCTTCGTGTGAGAGAATCCGCCACGCGAGGTGAACCACGCCGGCGGTCGTACCGTCAATGTTTTCACCCGTGGCCTCACCATCTTCTTCCAACGCGTGAGTGATCCCCATGCCGACGTCCGGACTGCTGCGGCGCCGTAGAAACTCTCTCGCGAGCAAGAGCTCCTGCCTGAAGACGCCGATGCGCTTCCGGACGAGCCTCGTGAGACTTTCCGACTCCGACGGCCGCGTGTTGAGGACGCACAGCACGTTCAGCGTCGATCGCAGTTCAAAGCGAAGACCGAAGTATCGGGCCTTCGACGCAAGATCGTTTGGCGATGGCGTCAACACACCCATTAACGCGCGTGATTCCTTTTCTTTGTCGCCCATCCGATTCAGCGAATGCCACTGACCACCAGCGGCTCCCAAAGAAGTCATTCCTACCGGGGCTCCTGTCGCCTGAGCTGATCGCGTCAGGCGGGAATTCATTTCCGTCTGCGCACAAGCGAGCGCGACGTGGTGCTAGACGGTGGTTTGCCACGGATTGGAAAACCTGCACGGAAGTGATGAGCTCCGTGGTTGAATCCACAATGGCGCGGAATAGCCACAAATATATGAGCAACGGCAATTTCCTCCTCTTTCTAGAAGCAAACCCTCAATTTCAAGAACTAGTATTCTATCTGTTTGCTTAGATATCTACTTATATATATTTATGCCACAATGTAGCTCTTGGCATGCAGCGTTTCACTGCACAGAGGGGAGTGCGTCCTGCATACATGCGGGGAAAAAGACAGAGATTAGCAAAGTTAATCACAATAATTTATAGCATTGTTTTCTTCTACAAAAGGGATCCCCACCCACCACCTGAAAATCACTTCATACTTAATCGGCTTCGTTCTTTCCTTTTCCTCATTCGCGTTTGCCAAGCAACTCCACCCTATTGCGAAGCTTGGTTAAGCCGTCTTCGCTGATGGGTGAACACGTCACTCCCCATCGTCAAGCTCTGCTTGCGCCCCCTCGTCTTCGGGCCCCAGCAGCGAGCTCCAGCTGTTCGCGACCAGCTCCTTTGCAGCCCAGTAGGCGCTTCGTATGAGAGTCTTGCGGAATTCCAGGGAGGTGTTCAGAACCAATTCATCACAGTCCTTCAGAAAGTCCTTAACCGCATCCTTGGCGAGCATCACAGCCAGTCCGTCCGGCGTCACATCCCCTCGAAGAAGTGGTTCACGACCGATCTTGGAAAACACGTTGTTGAGTCGTCCCTCGCTAATGTGGTTAAGCAGTAGCTCATTCGCTGCGGCCTCGACCTGAGGCAGCATAGACTCCACGATGACGGTTAGGTTGCCCTTGACTCGACGCAGCGCGCCCGCCCGTACGGTATCAAAAAAGGTCTCTTTGAGCTCTTGCTGCTTTCCAGGATGCTTTAATTCCATAAAACTGGAGCATCGGAGTTTGATGATCGTGGCCACATTGTGCATCTCGACTGAGGGGTCGCCACGCTTGCAATGCCGTATGACCACACCCTCCGCAAGATTCCCCTCCAAAGGGTAATTCCCCAGTCCAAGAAGCGCCGGGAGCGGTGTTTTGAAGTTTTCGACGTCAAAGGCTAAACAATGATCCAGCGTGCCACGCACAAGCGCCTTGGCATATAATAGATTAGGTACCCTCGAGCAAATCTCAACGAAATCGTCATAGCCGAGCAGCACAAAATCCTGCTCCGCTCCAGATACGGAGTATTTGATATCAAAAGCAAAAAAGTGCAGCTCCGGGCTGTATTGTGGAAAGGGCTCGCGCTGTATTTCCACACCGGAGATGGGGAACCGTTTGCCGTTTGGCATGGTACACCACTTTGTGCTCTTTGGAACGAGTGGGTGTTTGTACTTCGCACCAAAGAGTTCCCCATTCATGATTAGGCGTCCGATACGCCCAACGCCGTACTTTTGCTTAATCAACTCCGCTAGTATGCGAATCTGCGTTGTCATCTCGTCGGCGAGGATGTGATAACCGAAAAAGTTTTCGTTCGGGTCCATAATGCCGCTGCGCTTTGCAAACCGCACCGTCGTCTCGTCAATGAGGTAAATACCGAAGTTCGTGCCGTGAACCTTCTCCGTTACGATCCAGTCCTGATTGGCCAGCCCGGAGCGACGAATCACCTCAATGCGCGTGTTGGTGGGTAAATCGATTTCAACATACGGCGAGAACTCCTCGGGGTTTTTGTTCACAGGCGGCATATACCACCGCCGCTGTGCTTGCTGTGAGCGCGTGGGAGCTAACGTGGCGGCTAGATACCGCCGTAGGCCGCTATTCATCGTCCGATCCTTGGTCCATAAATTGGCAGACCCCGACGCTGTCCATATAGCTCGCAAGGAAGGACACATCAATCTCGAGGTGAAAGGTATCACTGGCATGTAGGGTGCGTGTTTGAGTATAGACTTAACAGGGGATATGCCGTAGTGAACGCTAGAACCACATTGCGTACCCCGATTTACCATAACTGCATCCCACAACGACCCAAGTAGCCCCATTGACTTCATACTACCTCTAGTTTTTTTATTCTGGTAGTCCTAAAATGCTCGAAAACTAATCTATATGAAGGAAAAGGAAAAAAGAATATTGAAAGCAAACAACACTGAATGATTTTAATAGCATTTTTGCTTCAGCACATTGCGTAGTTTATTTTACTTCGAATTTACTCACATGCCCAAGTTCCCTGAAATTTGTGAGATTTGAATAAAAAAGTAACAAAAAATCGCTATTGATTTATGCTAAACGTTCTATTTATACCTTAGTGTATCAAAATTCAGGTAAATATGGCGTCACGTGGCGCACTAACAGGAGAAAATTTACCTACAAGAAAATAAAGCACACTCACACTATCTTCTAATCAATACACCGTTGAAATGTATGTTTGTCATCTTCAAACATGCATGAAAAATGCTTTTTGATGTTCAAGCAAATACGCACCTTCCGAAGCTGATAGCGACAACCTAAAAGAAGATTTTAGTCCTTTTTAGCCAAGAGTATAACACCCACGGCTAACTTCACATTTGATATATCCCACATAATGCATCTATTACTTACTGAAAGAAAGATCAAAGACCAAAGTGAATAGAGAAATGAACAATATATTTTAGTAATAAGATTGAGACATACTGCTTATGCTTGAGTCACAATATAACTCAAATAAGCAAACTACGAACCCTTTTCCCGAATATGCTCGACAGTACAACGAGACGACAAAAATAAAAAATGTTCTGTTGAAGCAATGAAAGTGGGAGGGAGGTGGGGATGGAGCGAAGTCAAAGACTCGTAGAGATCCTCCCATGAGGCCGCGCAGATCGCATTCATACCCAAACCAAGCCAAGCTTAACCCACCACAGCATCCATACGGAAAACGCCCATGCGTTGGTGAGCGGCTCACACAGGCACACACCACACGCACATATATATATATATATATATAGATAGATAAATAGATAGATATATGCCAGTTAAAGCCTCCCGAGCAATGATGTCACAATAGAGGAGTTATCTAGCTCTGAGCCAACTTCACCTGGATGGACCAAAACTTCACCTTCCCGCGGCAGCACGTCGTGACGAGGAAGAAGCTCCCTCCCCCCCCGCCCACCCCACAGGCGGTGGTCATATCCACGTGCAGCCGGAGGGACGCGGTGGGCCCGTCGGCGAGGGCGACCCCATCCCCCCCTCCTCCAGGGAGTTCCGGGCACGGCTTCTTCGCCAGGATAGGCCAGAACGACGTCCGCGCGTCGTAGGAAGTCGCGATGAGGCAGCAACCGAGGAAAGTGGGAGCGCCCGCGGCCTGCAAGGACGTCGGCGCGACCAAGGGTACCCCGCACAGGTGACTCACCCAGCTTCGATGTGCGCGCTTGCGGTGCAGGACCTGCAGCCCGCTGAGGGTTTCCAGCTGCGCGCTCCGCTCGAAGGGCCCTTGACTCTGACGGTTGAAGCTGTTGGAGAGGAAGCTGTTCTCCGCGCATATTGGGGTGAAGTGGAAGATCCCTAGCATGTCATCCTCGCCGGAGCTGATCAACAGGTCGGGAGTGAGCAGATGGAAGGGTGTGCTTGATGCCCAAAAAAGCGCGATTATTTCTCCCACCGTGTTATATTCATAAACGCTGATCCGCGAGAGAATGTCGAACCCTGGTAGCTTCACGAGTGCAATAGTCCCGCTATTGCAGGATATCGCCGCGACGTGCTGCTCCTCGTCAATAAAAAGCAGCTCCTCGAGAGTGATGAGTGACGTGCGTGGCCTATTTGCGCCTTTGTTGGAATTCAATGAATCCGCTTCATCCTCACATGCTGTGGGGGAGTTGTAGTGGGTCCACAGACGTGTGAAGAAGGGCGGAATCCGCGGGGCGATGCACCGAATCGAGTGATAGCCAAAGGTCTGATTATCAAAATGTCTCAGCAACCACGCACCGGAGGCGACGACGCAGAGCAGCAGGACATGCCCATTGTCAAAGCCAGCGGCGAAGATCGTAGGGTGGAGGGAGTGATGGCTGGTCTCCATCGAGGACGTTAAGGAGAAATTCCCCACACCCTCGCAGCCGGACGGCGAACTGATACCTAGTGGCTTTCTGCTATAAAAGGGGTCATGGTGGATCGATGTACCAAATTGAAAACTACTCTTGCGCGCCCGCTTCGCGATCCCGGCGCGCGTAACCATTTCCTGGAGTTCCTTCTCGATACCATTCTGCACCTCCTGCAGACACGAGACAGGCGCCGAGACGATCTTCAAACCGGCACCATACACCATGGTTGACTGAGTCTCAGGAGACGCCGTGGTAAAATTTAGACGCTGAACCACACGCTTTTCGAATATGCTGAAGATAAAGATATCCCCGTTTTGATTGCCAAAGACTAGGAGAGGCTCGAACACGAGATTAATGTTCACGACTGAAATGGTTTTCGCCTGAACATTTGCGTCTACAAAGTTGATGTTGCTGTGCTTGGGATTGAAGAAAAAATCTTGGTCCTCTGGCTTAGTGATATAGGTATCTTCAAAGACATTATGGTCACGGTTCTGCGACGCAAACTTACACGGTCTCTCGGGGCTATCCATCGAATCACTGCCGACGATGGGACGCACCTCCTCACAGCCCAGCATGAAAAGCATCTGTGCCGTGACCTTGCGAGAGGCAATGCTGATTGATAGGGTTAGCAGGGGTGCGATGTCGAGAAGAATGCCATTCTGGTGAGCAACCAGATAAAAACTCAGGTGATTGAAGGTGTTAACGGAGACGAGAGTGTGCTGCACGGGTGCGGTGCCAGTCGGTAACAAGGGAGCCAGTGGTATACCCGCGCCCGAGGACTCGGACGGGTTCTCGTTGGTTGCCGATGAGGCGGCCTGTGGAGGTTTCGGGAACTTGCCCTTTAAGAGCATATCGCGCAGATCCGGCGCGGAATGAACGGCATGGACCCCCTCCGGATGCTGTTGCAGGATTTGCCGCAGCCCCGACTCTGATGCACCCGGCGGCCGCTGTATTGGCTTCTGTGTGAGAGATGATTCCACCCCAAGCGAAGCGCCTCCCTCGTCGGCCCTGACGGCGGACAGGATTAGCGACTCCTGCTTTTCTGGTCGGAAAACTTGCTCCCCACGCCGCCAGATAATTCTTAGCAGCGTTTCCATGGATGTGGTATGCTTCCCCTGCCCTGGGAGGTTCTCCGCGATGTAGTCCGGCGCGATCACAATGGTCTCCTCCGGCGGCAGATTGAGCGTGCACACCGACGGATTTCGGAGGTCAACAAAGGAACCGAACACGTCGCCTTGCGCCTGGCCGCTCGTTATGATGGAGGGATATCCAGACGACGTGTAGGCGCCGTTGATGGAGTTCACCAGGACCGCCTCGAGGTTGAACTCCACGTGTGGACCCTCAGCGTTGCCGATGTTTCGAGACTTCTCCGAGATGAAGGGCGTGACTCCGAGCTCTTCTTCGAGTTCCCCTGGCAAAAGAAAGGCTAATCGATCATCGACATCAATTTCATCTCCGAAATGACGCTGAAGGGGGACCCGGAAGCGGTCATGGTCGATGGGATCCCATCCCCGCGTGGAGTCATTATTATTCGTCCACTTTACGCGGGGCTGGCGTAAATCTTCCCGTGGCGGCCGCGCCGCCGAATCGGCCATAGCCGCTTCCCCCTTCAGTCATAACGAAGCTGCAGAAATATTGCCCGAGGTCAAGGAGCTCTCCGCCACCTTGTTGGTGTGGCTATGGGTTAAAGAGTCGATGACAGAGGGGCATGAATACGTTGAGAGGCCGGCTCCAACGATGCCATTAATGTTGTTCATTTTTTTGTGGTTGTTTTTTCCTATATATTTTTTTTTTTAGTGGGAGGGGTGAGAGGGGATTAACGCACCGCTCCCATAAATGGAACCGTTGGGGTCACTATTTTTTCGCTTTACGAATTAAAGGGAAAATTAGAACGGTTTATAATTCTTAATGATTCAACTGTATTTACACTACACTGATCTAGGGTGGAGTGAGGTAAAAGAAAGGTATAAACATCTTGATAGCATGGTAGAATCCATAAAAGAAGAGAGCCACTAAAAACAAATGCAACTAGAACATATAGCTCTAAAGTATTTAACGTTTTCATAAGTATTTGTAAAAAATCCAGAACTAATGAGATTGAAGGGAAAGATCTAAAGAACCATTTTCAGCAGTTGTATATATATGTATATATAGATGTATTCTACATGTTTAGTCATTTATCGCATGCTATATTTTTACTAAACCTGTCGCTTCCACATCAGGCAGTTACCTCGTACGTTTCTTTTCCTTTGAATGCCTTTCAAATAATATATAGATATGTAGATATATATACGCATATAAAAAATCATAAATGAAACGTTCTGATAATAATATAACTTTTCGATAGGATACAAGCGCAAGTTCCACAACACACTTTTTTTTTTTTGACTGCCATTGTGAAAACAAGGGGAGGTAGCCTTCAATGTATTTGTTTCCTTTGTGAAGTATTTCTTTTTTTCACCGTCCCACTATAAGGTATAATAAACCGAAAAAAAAATGACCAGATTTCCCTGAGTCTACGATTACGGTTTCGCTAAGATGCACACCTCAAAATGGATTTTTTTTTTAAATATACTTCCTCCCTAAACCTGAGAATCACTTCAGGGTAGTTTTATTTATGGAAAATAGTTAGACTTCCGTGCAGTGTTTGTTAATGTCCGCACAAGTACTCACTAGAGCACAAACATATCGAATTCTATTTTTATTTCTTTTTGTTCCCTCCGTGACGCAGGGAAAAGGAGAGGGCGATTTACCGATTTCCATTTATCCTTCCTCCACCTCACAAACCCTTGTAATAGGTGTAGTTGACGACCGGGGCGCCGCTCTTACGTGGCAGGTTCTGAAACCTCGGCTCTAGCTTCGTCGCTGGAATGGTTTGTATCGGGTTGAAAAGCCCCAGCGCGAAGGGCACCCCTAAGGAGAGGCCAAGGATTTGCAACAGGGTCTCCGTCATGATCGGGTGCCGCCGTGCCGAGCCGTAGTACCGCATAATCGGCATCGACAACAAGGTAGGGAGCATCATACACGGCGCGTTCCACACCGGCCGGGAGATGGAGCACTTAAGGAGGCTATCCCGCCCGGCCTGCGTGCTCATCCCACGCGGCACCCCGTCCTCGTCCTTCACCTCGAGCCCGCTGCCGGAGCGCATCCACTCGTTCCGCCGCATCACCGCGAGGTTCACGATCCCCGCCACGGAGACGGCAAGGAATGGGATGGTGCCGCGGATGATCATCCCCCGAAGGGAGGCGTGGGAGACCCGTCGGAGCATCATCGTCGCGGTGAGGGTGCCCCCGCAGGCCACCGTCACCGCCGCCGTGTACGCCTTAAAGATCTCCAACGCCGGCTGTTTGTCACTCGAGCGATTCGCGTAGTTGATCGCCGCGTTGATGCTTTGATTCAGCCACTGGATGAAGATCGTCCGGGAGACACTCGTGACGGTGGAAGGTAGCATCATGTATGGCACCAACAGAAAGTTCAGCGGCAGGAAGCTGCACATGCGGAAGAGGGGGAAGATGACTTCACCGGAGGTCGGATGAATGCACTGCTCGAGCGCGTTCCGGGACCACCAAAGCTTCGCATCAGGCACGTCTTTGATCTCTTTCTTTTCCCATTGTTTTAATAATTCGCGGTGCTTTTCCAACGACGTTTTAGTTTCCAGGAGGAGCAGTGGATTGATCGCCTCAACGAAGTAGAGAGATCGACCCATAACCGTGTTCATGTCATACTTGGGCTCTTTCAGAGAGAATGGAGGGGTCATTCTGCTCGAAGTTTGATGCGTATGTATTTGATCAACAGTATTATTTTTTTGGTTGGGGTGGGATTAGTGTATATACACAATAGGAGGACTTTCGCTTCGATAAACTTAAGCTTTGCTTCTCATTTACAAAGGACAACGGGATAGGGAGGGGAGGGGTTGGAATGGATAGTAATAACAATATTAGTAGAGCAATACCAAAGATGCCATGAAACCTTACAAAGCGTATCGACCTTTATAAACAGTTTATATTAGGTTCTCCATGAAGCTTAGTGAAGTTGCAATCACTCACCCTTTTCACAAGCATTTGGCGCTAAGCAGAATAGCTCGACACAGTGTAGGAAAAAATATCCATCTTTAGATTCCCATAAGTCGCAGTTAGCATCGGTTGCCTTGGAATCACTGCCTGCTCTTTCTTCTCAGCTCCAAGCCACTGCCTATCAAATAGGCAAATGAGGCTTAAGAGAGCCCATCTCGCAGGAAAGCCAGCCGCCATATCGCCGAAAAATCTTTCCACGCACTACCAGATGCAGGCAAGGAACGCATAAAAGCTTCGCCTTCTGCTATCGTCTCACAAAAATTCATAAAAACGTTTTCTTTTGGCTCTTCTGACACTGCTGTTTGGTTCGCTTGGGAAGCCTCAGCCAGTGATTGAGCCTCGTGGCGGATGTGTTTCCTCTTTTCTTCCTCCCTCGCGTGCCCCTTCCTTTCACAGAACGAGAAAAAATCATACTTGGGGAGGGGTATTGCACACAGACGGGTTGCGCGCGTTTCATGGTGCTCCCATCTCATTTTGTGCAGTATCCAGCGCTCCAGGTGCCGCATCGCGACCTCGCCGCCCGATAGCACCACCAACGCATCGCACTTCGCGATCCACACCACCATACCCCGCAGGCGGTTATCATTGGCGAGGTTCCGCAGTTTACCAAGGTGGGAGGGGCTGAAGATGGGGTAGATGCGATACGCGCGAAGAGACGGGGATTCTTGTGCATGACGAATCGCATCACGCTCTCGTTTGAGAATTTGATTCGGCAGAGCAGCGACGTGGCGATCGTGATTGCGCCGCTGATGCTCCACAAAACGCTGTTGATATTGTTCATAAATCTGATTCTCCGTCGCGATGGGGTTTAGAACGCTATGGTTGAACAAACCAAAGGCTAGGCTACGGCTACGGAGCTGATCTTGGTGCGCAGTGCCGCCGGCAACGCCTTTGTCTGGATCCCCCCGGAGTCGTTCTTGGCGTTCCTGCTCCTGCCTACGCTTTAAACGCTCACGACGCTCTTTGCGCAGTTCCTCCTTCGTTTTCATGTACTTCACCTCCACTGGGGCCGTACCCGACAGCGGTTGCGGGCAGTGGAGGGTATAGAATGAGTTCTCCAGGATCGGGTGGTGCTCCAGATCCATAACCCCGACGCCGGCCGCGTGGCTGCCGGATTTCGTTTGCCCACTCTGCATGCTTGGCGACGCCGCTGCGGTAGTGATCAACGCCTTCGGATCGTATCTTGGCAGCTCGAACGCCCAACGATCCCACGGCTCGATATCCGGCACGCCGTTCGCAAAAAACTCCGCGAGCAGGGAGCGGGAGAGCGCCGTCGCCGCCGAGGGCTCCCCACCCCCAACGACAGCAGCTACTCGATCGCTTTTATTCGCTTTCTCGGGTTGGGCGGGGGGGGCCTGGCAAAACTCTCGCAGCGCGGCCTCATAGGTCAAACGCCGTTCCCGCAGTTGCATCGGGCTCTCCTGTTGCTGCGGCTCGCTCCCTTGGCAGATGGCGAGCACCGCATCCCGGCGATCCTCCGCAGCCGCGGCGCCACCTGCTGTGGAGGAGAGGGGGGCCGCAAACGATCCCGACGGTGGCGCGCGATTCGCGCCCTCAAAAAGCAGCCCCCGCCTTCTCGCCAACGCCCCTCCTCCTCTGTGAGCGGCGGCGGCACCTCGCTGGACGTACGCCTGGAGGGAGGGATCAAAGGCCCTCAATTCGATCGCGCCTTGGCCATGCGGCGAGGAATCCACCGACTGCTCATCGGATAACAGCAAGTTCGCCACGGCCTCCTTTGCCGACTTCTCGCTCTCCTTCTTGCGCTGCGGAAGCGATGAGAAGTCGATGGCAAGGTCATCATCGATGGTAATCGGGGCACGCTTCTTTGGCTGCATAGGTGGGAAAGGGTTGGTGGATATAACGGAGTGTCGCTATTTTTCTTTAAATAATAGGCCACAAGAAAGGGCTCGTAATGCAATCTTTTTTTCTTGAAATTTCAGCTTCACCTTTGAGATAAAGCTTGCAAAAATGGTTCTTCAAGTCATGAATTCAGTAGCACATAAGCATGCTTACCAGTCTGTTCTACTAGCGTAGCGTCTGTAGACGTGTTTTAAGCAATAAAGGCACCCATGAATGTACTTTTTTTGTGTGTGGGAGGGAGAAAGAGGGGTATTTCCTCTATTCCCGTTTCGACGAAATCTATTGCTAAACATGTCAGACAACTTAAGCAGCACATCTAACCCCTTCCATTCGCTAGCTGGCTACATATGAAGCATTACTAACCTAGTAAAGAGTGTCATTTTATGCGCTGTGTATAGGGGCACCGTAGACAAGCTTTGTAAGCGCATGTGTCCGCAGTTTACTTTTAATACATTTACTTATTGGGGCAGTGCCTCGACAAATGTTCTTCCGATCCGCAGTGCTTGCATTGATCCTTTGACGTGCGTACGAACGTGTTTTTCTTGGACAACCCCGCCGCACCTGCATCGTCGACGCGGCTGGCTCTTGGAGGAGGAGGAGGAAGATGTCCCGCCTCCTCACGCTTGAGGGTCTTCTTTTCCACAGCGTCACTTGCGCGAACTTCCGTTTGCTCCACCGCTTCCGCCACGGCGGGAGCCCCGGAGCCATCGCAGTGCCGCGTGAAGTGCACCGGACTTCCACATTTTTGGCAGCAGTTCTTTGGAAATGTTGCCGTTCCCGAGGATTCGCCCCCTTCCGTGCGAGCCAAGCGTGAGGGGGGCACGTCATCGGGCGGCAGCACAGCAACCCGTTCGGGTTCACGTTTTACCCGAGCTTCTCGCTTTTCCACCTGGCGAGTGTTGCGTCCTCTGATTGCTTTATTCTGTGGAACGACTCCACCACAATCAAAAAGCTCTTGTATCGCGAAAGGGCTGGGAGCGATGTGGATGCGACCCCTACCGGTCCACGTGAGGTTGGAGAGGTAGTCGAAGTCTACAGTATTGTTTGATTTTACTGCCTGCTCTCGAACTACGTCCTCGACGATCTGCGCCAAGGTACGGTCGTCATCGCCACTCGGAAGAAACACAGAAGGCTGGTTTGCACCATCGCCGCCTGCACCTTTTTCTTCCATCAGCCGATGCGATAACCACAGGCTAATCTTCATGGCACGCTCTGTGTCGTCCAGCTCTACAATCGCGAAGCGATGCCGACCAAAGCCGCTAAAGATGGAGCGGCGCACCTCACAACGAAAAATTGTTTTGAGGAAGGATTCATCCGCAATGGAGGGAAGCGGGTATACGAGGAAACAGTGATCAAAACGCGAGTGATAACTGCTGGGGCTTGTGGCCAGCACCTGCTTTGTTGTGAGAGTGGAGGAGGTCATTATGGAATGGTTGATTACAACGCTATTATTTTTTATTTGTTAGCCAATTTATAAAGGTCGTAATAACCAAACAAAAAACTAGACTACTCGAAAGGGGAATGTAGAGGGAAGTAATTCATGGAATACACACATACAAAATTGAGCTATTCAATTGGGAGGCATATCAAGAAAGAGGAATCGAAGGAGTTCACATTCTCGTTTTCGCATAATCTATCTTTTCGACGAAGGTGTCGACTGAGTTAACCTTGTCGCAGCGAGAGAGAGCTACCTGTAACTTTGGATACATGACAATGTTCACGTAAATTGAAAAAAAAAGAGTTAAGAACCATTAAAAAAGCAGATAAATTAATAAATAATCAAAGTTCAGCACCACACGTTGGTGGCAGTGGGTTTGGAAGAGTGACTGTCAGCAGCTCATGGGCAGAATCCTGGTCGCGAGGCATGGATCAGCGGCTGACCCCGCTCCGTACTACCGTCATGCAAGACGACTTTCCCCGGCTACGGGATTCACTTTAGACATTTTTCCCTCTACCCTACCAGAAATGCATCTCGAGAGAAGAAAATTGCGTTGAGTTGTAAATACACACTGAGGACTTTCTATGCGACCTTTGCAACGTTGTCCGATACGCCCACGACAGAAACGTCCACTGTCTCACATTAACTGCTGGTGAACACCTCCTTTGGGAAGATTCGATACCCCTCCCCACGCTTCAAAAGAAAGAGGGTCCTTGAGGGTTTTGACCCTATCATTTCCATCTTTCATAGATCCCCAAAATACTCAATCCACATTTCTTTCCCCACGAAGAAGCCTCTACCACCTTCTCTGCGTCGGTCCCCCAATAAAAAATATCAATTGGGATCTATATGGCGGATGTCGCCAAGTACGATGTCACAGCTACAATGCCAATAACCATAGTAAAACATTAGAAACACATCCTGTCCTCGTCTCCACACACTAACTGATATGTCCCAAAATTCACAAGATCACACCCTGACCCCTGACCGGCGCGCACAGGTCGTCTCAGCTTCCCTTTATCATCTAGCAAGGACAAGTGGTCAGTCGGGATAGACGCCGGGGCTCCAAAAGCAGGATCAGCCTCAAGGAGACACGCCTTTCAAGTAGCCTCCTCGTTCGTTGGGGTGCCCACGTCACCGTCTGTGAGGCCGAACTGTAGATGGGATCGAACCAAACCCGTTCTCGCGCCATTCACGACACCGGTTGCGAGGGACGATACCGGCCTGCGGCCAAATTGGGGCCCCGCTCTCTTCAGCCTCAACACGTTTGGCATGCTCAGCAGCCTGTTGAGTGTTCTCGATAAACACTTCCTTGGGGAGCGGGTTGTAGATCTTCTTCCGAGCTTCGGGATTAAGCTTCAGGAAGGAGTCACGCGACGAGGTGTACATATCGGCCCGCTTGCGGTTCACTTTTTCCCTGGTGAACTGCCTGTAATCCATTGGCGGCGCACGAAGACCTATGGTCACTTTGTAGGTGTCGGTAGACATTTCACTTTCGTTGATGTTAATGCTTTGCCACTCTCTATCAGTTAATCTTGTTGAAGAATTTGTAGCAAATATGAACTATTTTATTTTCCTCTCAGCTGAAGGAATGAAGGGGCTAACCATGCTTGTTCAGTGAACTAGGAAAAGAGTTCACACACGCACGTATGTACATATAATAGCATGAAGCATATTTTAGATTTTTCCTATTTTTTCCGAACGTACAAGTAAACGGGTGACCAACGAACTCAACCAAATGTGTTATCCGTCTACAATGTAAATATTGAGATTGTAATAATTACGCTCAGTATGAAAGAGAGCCTCAATGTATATGCATATGAGTAGGGGGAAAAGAGAGGAACAGGTACCCTATACGTACGAGACGCGCCCAGACTGGGTATTCGCTTAAATACAAGCATTTTGTTGGTACTATTCGTGTGGCCTTGTGATGTTTCTAAGAATGGGGCCAAAATTATCACAAACGATGCTTTGATTCCATTTCCCCGCATCAAAACTTTTTTCATCTAAAATTCCACCCAAGTAAACAGCATCCCACTCTATAGTAGCGATCAAGCAACTTTCAATATGGTATTTATAAACCGATAAGTTTGTCAGAATCCGCAGACTACTATTCTCCTTTGCGAGCACTTCCCACCCCTTCAGCCCAGCACCACGATGATCTCTCCGTAATTGCAAGGTATTTATGCAGATTTTAACGACCATTCCTGAGACCCTAATCGATAAAATGATGTATTCTTAGGTATTTTTCACCGTAGTTCTTGAGATAGCGTTAGAGATTCACTGCATCATTGTTATCGTTACTCGTTATGAGCTCCATTTCGTCGCGGATGTCAAATGGGTTGCTATCATAAGAGACATCTAGCAGTTGTAAGATCTTGATGGTCGCAGTCCCGCTCAGATTGCCACAGACGGCCAGCATGGGCGGAGTCGTATCACCTCGGACCCTAATCTGGATTCTTCATTAAAAGCGATTCGTATCCATTAACAGACGCCAATAGTAGTACTACTAATAGTTTTTGCCGTTTGAATGTTTTAGATTGACTTGAATCTCATTTTAGGAATGGAGGGGGAGGGGGGGGACTAAAATAAAGATACACTAAAAAGTACACCCAATTTCAAGAAGACACGTACCACATACTGTCCGAATTTTAACGAGAAACTGGATCAGGTGAAAGTCACGCGCCTACACTTCCCTCTCCATTATCCTTCGTGTGTGAAGGGAGGACGACGGCAAGAAAGAGACGGGGGAAGGAGGGTCTTGCCTATGGTGAAGATCGATTGCAGCAGTGTTATGTGTCCCTGAGAAAAAGCTCCTCAATGATAACCTGGTACCGCTGTTCGATCGTAGAGCGTGTGAGCCTGCCGGTGACCGTTCTTGCTCCATTTTGGGTCGTCCACTCATCGTAGAGGATCCGCACATGGCGAACAAGCTCGTGGGGCATGCAGTGATGCCGCACCGCTAGTTCCCGAAGCGACTCTGCGGCGGCCTCGTTAAAGAGTGGTTCTCGCAGACAGTGCGGCCAGGATAAGGGAAGCCCCTGGTCACGTGTTCTACAATCGCCTTTTAATCGATCTGGGCGAGATGCCCCCTTCTCCAACGTCGCACGGCTGGCTCTCGCGAGATAGGACTGAGTCGCTGCGTCCTGAATGAATGCCGTGGTGCGGGGTTTGTCTGTCAGGACCAGAGCACAGATATAGGATCGAAAGGGATGAACGAGGACGCACACACTACTACCCCCACCCGCGTCCCGTTGGGCTACACACAGAGGGTGCTGACTATACACCGCCTCCAGCGATTCCACGTCTATGATGCAGCCCATAGCGTTCACATCCTGGGCCCCCAGTCGTGCCACGTGAGAAAAGGTCCCATCCGGTAGCCGCTCCACGATATCGCCTGTGTGCAGCCAGCCGCTACTCTCCAACACGGCGGCGGTCTTCTCCAGATTGCAGTGGTACCCCGTCATGATCGTGGGGCCACGGAGCAATAGCTCGCCGCAGGGCCGTACCGCGAAATGATTCCATTGCTTAACATCCCGAAGTTTCATCTCGACCGGGCCGAGTGGGCCCCCGATATTGCGCATGTGATCAACCCACAGATTCTGCATCGTGCCGCACCCCGCAGCCTCTGTGGGCGCGTAGACCTGTGAGACGGCGACCCCGCAGACAACTTTGAGGTACTCCTGCGTGCGCGGATGAAGGGGGCCGCCACAGGAGAGCACCAGTTGGCACCTTCCCCCGAGCAGTTGGCGTGGCTGGCCAAATATAAACTGGTTAAGAAAGGGGGTGTCAAGGCCACGCCGTAGGGCTTGCCGGCGTTGCTCATAACCAAGCTCGAATAGAACCCGAAGAAAGCCCTCCGCGAGGGTGTGCGTGACGGTGCTGCAGAGCTGATCTAACGTGTACGGCACAGAACTGAAGACAAGTGGCTTGAATTCATCCAGATCCCCTCTGGGGTGGGCGTCCGCTTTTGTGAGGGTCGAGGGCGACCCATAGCACAAAAGAAATCCCTCTGTGAGAAAAACCATCTCCAACACCAATTCTCGTACGTTATGGAGCGGGAGATAAGCAAGGTAGGTTGGAGAATCAGCGCTGCTCTTTGGCGGTGGCTCTTCTGCGTGATGCAGCCACTCCCACAGACTGTCGCGAAGGTTAGTTTTCATCATTGCAGAAAGGTGATTAAGTATCCTTTTTGAATAGCCTTGCGACCCGCATTTTTGTTCGTCGCTATACGCCCTGTCGCTCTCGCTTGTTTCATCTTTGCTGTGGTAGTATTTCTTAGCACTTAGGTGGCTTTCCACTGCTTCGCTTATGGGTGAACCTTCTCTACCAGGCTTAAGGGGATCCCCTTCCTCATACCTACTTGCATTCTTATTCCGAATATCTTCATCCAAAACTGGGCTGAGTAGCTGCATTCTAACAAACCTCTCACGATACCCCGCAACTGACGCAGCCAGGGCACCGTGGGTGAGAAGAACTCCTTTGGGGTCTCCCTCGGTGTACACGACTAATCCCAGGTCCGAGGAGCGAAGCGGCACCAGTCCACTCGTGCTACAACCGTTTGAAAAGGCTAGATGTCGCCTTGCGGATGACAAGGAGGTCGGATCGTTGAGCGTAGGCAAAGGCTCCATGGTATTTGAGTGACTTGACCACGGGCCGACGCTGGAGCGATCTTCCATGACGCTCCGCCGTAAACTAGAAGCGATACGCGAGGTGCTGGTCTGCCTGCTTGCGGGGCTGACCGATTTCACGATGGCGTCATCTTCATCATGTTTACACATGTTTTGCCGATCCATCGAAAAGCGGCTTCGTCGCTGCTGACGTTCATGATATTGCCTTGCACCTCGCTGGAGGAGAACCTTCTTGCCATAATCCAGCACCTCAGTCCACCACAGTGGTTCTTCTACTTCATCCGACTCGTCCGGATTGTGGTGTCGGTTTGAAAGCCCTTCGCTTCGAATATCATCGATGAAGTTAGATTTACCCGCCACGACATTCGTGCCACTCCCCAGAGTGCTGGTGATGTGGTGGACTAGATGAGCATCCCTGATATTCGTCTGCCGCATCACGACGAACAGAGGACGAGGGGGCTTCGTGCTCTTCGACCGGAGTGGCCCCGCCAGGTCCGCCCCTCCTGTGGCTAGACTTCCCTTTGGACGACCCACCTCGCTCTCACCGGCGTGGCTTTCATGGAGTGCAACCGCCTCGCGAATGTATTGCCGCAGTCGACCGATGACGTGGGGTTGGCAGACGACCACTTTGGTGCGCAGCAGCACCTCTCGTGCGGCCTGCCTCAGACAGGCGTCGGTGCCATGGAAAACGACCGGGACGAGCCCCTGCGACCAGCACGCGTAACAGGTCACGAGCCACTCCCAGCGCGTGACCTCCATCAAGCCCAGAGGGTCCCCAGGCTTCAGCCCCAGCGAACGCAGGCCCTCTCCAAAGGCCTCAATGTTGGCCCATAACTCCCCACACGTCATGTACTGGGACGGCCCCATGTAGTGCAGACACCGCCGCGGAGGCTGGGAGGATGAGGCGGCGGCGGTCACGTTCATGGGCGGCGTTGTGTAGTCGTTTAGGTACTTGTACGACATCACGGAGCGCCACGACACCGCCGGATCGCCCGGATGCAGGGCGCAGAACAACCGGAGCTGATCCACCACGGACCACAGCGCCGGATCCGATGTGCCCTCGCCAGGGCCCCCACGCTCGCCGGGGGGCGGGCGCCACGTCATCTGGTAGAGGTCCAGGAGGTCCTGCGGGGTGCACGAGGCGTTGCCGGGAGCATGAAAAACGGCGCTTTCCATGTCCTGATACGTCCCCTCGGAGCCGTAGTAGTACTCAAAGGCATCTACGCAGTCTAAGGGGTTCATGCTGTTCTCCCCCACGCTGCGCCCGTCGCTGTTCGAAGCGCGCTCCGTCGCACTCTGATCACAGATCTCGACCGGGCACACGATATCGCGCATCTCCACGGGTTTACCCGAGGCGACCCCACTCGAGACCTCCCCTGACAGGAGCCGCTCCTCCCCAGAGAGGCCGTCGGGCTTTCGCGGCGCCGACGTGGGCAGGGTAGCGTGCCGAAGGAAGACAGGTGGGCGCAAGGGTTGGCGTCGGCGGGGCCGCGGATGACACGATCCGTCGGGCGCGCCCGTCTCATCGTGTGGCCGTCCTCGCCCGTCCATCGGCAGCGTGTAAGCATAGCCGGGCGGGGAAGATGGCCACCCCGTGCACGACCCCTCGGCGGGGCTCTGACCAGGGCCAACGCGCCGGTACGGCTGCGCCACGGCCGGCGCGGACATGATGGCCTCCTGGGGTTGGCGCGCTCGAAGGATTGCGGTGTGCGGCACCTGGGAGTACTCGCAACGGAGCTGGAAAAGGGTGATAAGCAAATTACCCATGATTCCTTTAACTTTGTAGCTACAAAGACAACCAAGGAGGGGTGGAAGAAGGCGTTTGTGTGATTTTTTCTAGGCACTTTACCACCTTGAATCGAGGAAGATAAATTTTGTCAGTAGCCTAACATGCCTTCATCCTTTTTCTTTTTTCATTCCTTTAAAAATTTTTAGCACATAACACTATGGGATTCTATTAATGCATACGCGCGCGAGAATGAAATAATAAATATGTGCACCGCGCATGCCATTCAATGTAGCCTCAACTATATAGAATTTATACGAATGAGGAAACTAGAGGTAAGCGATGGGCAAAGTCACTAAGGATTATATCATGTATTTTTTGTCTAATACGTGATGTTTTATCACAGCCTTTTCGTTGCGGAATCTTTAGAAATTGTAAACAGAGCGAAATCTTTTCGGCGTTAATATAAATATATATATATATATGTATTTATACTTTCAAGGGTTTAAAATAGTTTGAAAAGAACTCTTGAAAGGCATCAGTATTCATTCACCTCGCTTATATACAGCGTTAGTAGAGCTAATACAATGATAGCTTTTCCCATTGAAACTTTTGCTATCTCCTCATAAGCACGCTTTTACTGCGTGAAGGCTTCAGAAGGCCGCTCATTCCCAACATTATGGACCTTTAAAACAACAGGAGATTGGAGGTTGAGATACGTATGCCTTTTAATCAAGGCGATTCTACACACTATAGGGATGTTTTTTTCATACACTCAACCTTGTTGGTTCCTCAACGCTCAATTTTGCAGATACTTCTGACCATGTCGTTTGCTATGAATAAAATATATCACTTGAATAGGCTCTGCAGTGCACGAGTAGGATTTTTCATTTATGCGGAACGCAAGGGGAAAGCAGAGAATAAAGATATTAGAGAGCACATACAAAGAGGAAAAATAGATCAGCTCATGTGTAGCTCAGTCAGTGTGGTATGGGGCTATCTGTGGAAAAGATTGTGGGCTAAGTATTCTAGTCATCGTCAATTTCGTTAAACGTCTAGATACAAAGTTAAAGAGAAAAGTAAGATAGCGATAAAATGAGGTAAAACATCAACAACACATATAATGGTAAACATTATAGGAATTCCATTCAATGAGACGACCTCTGTGGAGGAGAAGGTGACATAACAAAATTTTTCGTGCATCTTTGCAATAAAGCATTAATTAATATAGTATCTAAGAGATGTACCCTTCGACACGTTAGTAGATACATCGATTCCTGAGTTATAACATACAACTTTTTGCTCCTTAATTTATAGTTTGAATCATTTTTCTTAGTTTAAAAAACCTTTCCCTACGTGCCAAGTGAGACAGCCACAACGGTATCAAATGAAATATGGAAAAAAAAGTAAAGCATCTTCTCCCCTTCATCACATAGCTTAAGAAATAAAAAAAAACAAGGATTATCTTTCAAATCCAACAATTATGCCTTATTTCGACACTTCCTTGGGGCCTCCAATTGTAAGTAAGACTAACAAGCGGAAAATTTTACGCACCCACATAAACATATTAAAGCTACGCGTATTAAGAAATATTCTAGACATTGTCTAGGTGAGAATTGAGAGGTATCTACCACAATTAGGCCCTTTTTCTGTTAAATATTAAGCGATCTAATTGTCGCTGAACAATTCATCGATCTCCTTTTTGTAGAAGGCGTCTATAGATCTGCGCAGCAATTTCATTGATGCAGACAGAAATCCATTCTCAGGTGTCCATATTTCCTCCACGAAACAGACTCGCCGAACGAATTCAAACGGCTTTCGCTTGGCCCGCTCCGCCAGTGAGGCCATGGATGCTGCCGCAGCTTGTCTGAATTTCGGATCGTTCAGAACTTTAGGAAAGTCTGAATCACAGGAAAGGTTATGTTCTTCAATAAAGCGAGTTACTTTGCCCTTATCCGTCACGGCCAACGCGCAGATGTAGTTTCTGTGAGGGTGAACCACAACGCAGACACAATTGTTGACCACCAGCGGATGATTCGCGTAAATCGACTCGAGGATTTCAAGTGCAATGTACTCCCCCAATGAGTTCTTTGCTAACGCCTTGATGCGCCCGATCAGAATAACACGGCCTTTGCTGTCGATGCTGCCCACATCACCTGTGTGAAACCATCCATCCTCATCTATGGCCTCCTTAGTGAGCTCCGGCTGCTTGTAGTAGCCCTTGAAAAGGAAAGGCCCACGCAGGCAGATTTCTCCACGGGGTCTAGGCTTGTCCGTGTGCTTATAGTCTTCGACGTCCACAAGTTTGAGCTCCTCACCGACGAGGACTTGTCCAGTCACGCACAAGTCAATATCCCCCAGGCGTTGAATTGCGCCCACACAAACCGTCTCGGTGAGACCCCAGCCGATCACAATGAGCCCGAAAACGACGTTAACGAACTCCTGCGTGGCCGCCGAGAGCGGGCCACCACCACAAAGTAATAACCTCAGACTTCCACCCACGGCAGCCTTCGCCTTACTAAAGATCTTCTTATCCCAGTACGGCGTGCTCTTGCCATCCTTAAGGGCCGCGAGCCGGCTTTGGTAAGCGTGGTCGAATACTCTGCGCCGGAAGGTACCCGGTTTTGGGAGCTTTGATTCAACCGCACGCCGCAGGGCATCGAAGACACGAGGCACACCTATTAGAAGGGTTGGTTTGAGCTCCCTAAGGTCGCCATGCGGCTTAGTTGTTAAATCAGTCAGCGTCCGCGGGGAGCTAAAGGCTACAGTGGCACCGCGTGTAAGAAAGATGTTCACAACCCCAAACTCCAGAATATGTGCCAGTGGCAGGTATGCCAAATACAAATCATCAGACCTAAAATCTATTAGACTAAAGAGCCAATTGTCCATGATTTTGATGCCTGCAGCAATGCTACCATGCGTGTGAACGACACCTTTCGGACTGCCTGTGGTGCCACTGGTGTACATGATAAGTGCAACTTTATCATTATCTTCTGGAACATGGAGTTTACGCGTTGATTTCGCCTTACTACCAAGTTCCATCACAGACTTCCACGACACTAGTCGTATTCCCTCCGGTACTTCGCACCCATTCGCAGGCAGTTCGTCAAAATATATGAGAGTGCAGGGAGGTATGGATCCTGCCGTGATGCTTGAAAGCAACAGAGGAACACTCCTGGCATTACACACAACTGCCTGACATTGCGTCTCGCTTAGTGCGTAGATGAGACCATTCTCACCAAGGTTGGCATACACCGTTACCATCACAAGGTCTTGAAGCCACAAAGCATAAGCTGTAGAAAGCCATTCCCAACGAGTTTCCTCATAAATAGCAACATTATCTCGAGCTGTTAAACCCAATTCAGCCAATCCACGACTCACGTCAGACGTAAAATCCCATAATTCTGAGTACGTCATATTGACTCGCGGACCCATATATGACACCTCTAGAGTCTTCTTCCCATCGGGCGTCACGATCTCCTCCTTGACAACTTTTTTAACAGGGCGATAGGTCAGTGCCCCATTACCGGAACGCGAAGTACACGACGTGACGAACTGCTGAGTGTTATTCGGTCCGTAATATGCGCTGTGCCGAAACTCCTCAATTTCGACGTCAGTATGGTGGCGTCCATTACGGTAGACTTCAGTGCTGTTTGAAGTTCCAGTGCTAGGGACAGAAACACTGTCAGATCCATAATTAAGGTAATTAGTGATAAAAGGATCCGGCACAACGGACTTCCTATGCTTCCGGTCCACGAATGAAATCACACAGCTACCCATTTTCGCAATATACTACCTCAAGGTTCGATGGAGGTTAATATTATTATACATATACACCAAGCTAGGAAAAAGACAATCAAGAAACGAAATAGAAAAAGAAACATAAAATTAATAAAGACAGTGCTCCGTCTCCTTCTTCCTCAAAGGGGAATCAGCCACATTTAATCGGTAGACACCAGAATGATGCATAGAGAAAACACCCAACGGATTGAGCCCACAGTGGGCTACCGTATCCATTCCGGCACCTTATAGACAAAAGTGCTCATGGGGTTGCAATCGCAGCCGCCTTGGCTATGTGCCAGCAGCGGATACGCCGACACTCTTAGTACTGCATTCAAGCACCTCGCTCATTCCGCCCCTGACGTACAGGGGGGAGAGTCTGTATGTGTGGAATTCAACTCACCGCGACTGGCGACCCCCCACCTTGCAGAACGCAGCATGCGCAGACACCGTTCTGCCGCCCCGCAGCACGCCTTTTCACTTGCAGGAAGACTGGTGACGCGGGCGAGTGTGGGGGAAGAGGCGGAAGCAAGGAGATTCCCGTCCTTCAGGCCTCTGAACAAGTCGATGGCACACCCTAATTGGCGATTTCAGGCATCTCTCCAATCAATGCGCCATCATCGGCCTCCATACCCCCATCTGCCCGTGCTCCATCGAGCCACCCTCTTAGTACCTAGATAGCCTTCTCCAAGGCATTGCTATTGCCAGAGACATTCGTTTATTGACTGAGTGATGCCCTATTGCACTCCCTTACTCAGTTTCAGAAAGCATGTTTTTAATCCAGTGTAGCACAGAAACAGATATTGTGGATAGAAAAGTTGAAGGTAATGTGCAATAGCAAGAAATACATACGGGAATGAACCAACATGCAAGGCGAGTTCCACTACTCAAATAAATCAGGATTTTTATTTTCTAACACTCACGTACATGCATATGCATTTAAGAAAAACAAAAACACGCAACAATTTTGAACCGAGAAAATATGGATTATGATTAAGCCTAGTATTTTGATAGGAGGTCGTCCATGAAATCGTAATATTCATAATAATAGTTCCATAAAATAGAAGTTAAGAAAAATGAGTCCGAGATTCGTTCTCAATAAACCCTAAGGAAAAAAACGCCAAAACACCAATTCTTTATAATTAAGGTTTTACGAATTTGATAGCACCACGAGATTTGTTTACTTGTGGCTTAGCCCTCTTGTGCTGGGCTTTCTACTGTGAAAATAAAAATAATATTAGTTAATTTTGACCCTTATTAGTGATCTCACGGAGCATCTCAACAAAGCGGACACATTCCTCCTCTTTCGTGGCCCACGACGTGCAAAACCTCACAACCATCCCGCCATGGGGGAGCACCTTCTCGACATGGGATGCGAAGTGTTCGTCCAGCTGCTTTACGACATGCGGAGGGAGTATAGGAAACTGGATATTCGTCATCGAGTCCGTCCAGAACGCATACCCGCATGACTGTATACCACGCTTCAGGATCATTGCAGTGCGGTTCGCGTGTTCAGCAAGCTTGAGGTAGATATTGTCATGCAGCAGGGCCTTGAATTGCACGCCTATCAGCCACCCCTTGGATAGGAGCCCGGCGTGCTGCTTTATGAGGTGCCGGGCACCGGGCTTGAGGTTATCGTGCATGATCACAAGGGCCTCCCCAAACAACGCGCCGCTCTTGCCCAGCCCGATCGTGAACGCGTCGACCATACTTGCAATGTCGGGCAAGGTGAGGTCGTTGCCTGATGCCATCAACGCGGAGGGCAGACGTGCGCCATCCATGAACAGATACAAGCCATTTTGGCGGCAGAATTGGGACACTTCGGAGAGCTCTTCCTTAGTGTAGATGGTGCCGATCTCAGTTGTGTTGGTGATGTACACCAGCTTGGGCACCGGCATATGCACGCAATCGTAGCTCTTTAGGATGCTGTCAATCCTTTCGGCTGTTAGTTTCCCATTGACACCCTCCGTGGTGAGGATCTTATGCCCAAAGCGCTCAGCACAACCTGTCTCCAGTGTGTTGATGTGGCCTGTGGTCGGACTGATCACTGCCTCGTATGGGCGTAGCGCGAGGTCGATGGCGATGCTATTGACCATGGTGCCACCAACCATCAAGTGCACATCCGCGTTGGGCTGCTGAACAATCTCCCGAATCATCGCAGCCGCCTCCATGGTGTGCTTATCAACACCATACCCCGGATTTTGCTCAAAATTCATTGCGGCTAGGGCCTCGAGGATGGAAGGGTGGCAACCCTCACTGTAGTCAGAAGCGAACGAATACACCATTAGGCTGAGTCTGGTTATTGTTTGATTCTTTGTCTCTGAGTTATGTGCTTCCTCTGAAGTTACCTGTGGCTTTGGTAAATATTTGCGAGTGGAAAGAACTTTCGTTTTATTGCTGATCAATATTTTAAAAGAAAAAAGAATTCTCCTTTGTGGAGCAAGCGGGGGAGTGAGATGAGAGACCCGGGAAGAAGGCAAGGAGTAGCAAAACAAAGAACTGAGCCTTTGCTAGTCATCAGCTTTTGCTAATAAACTACACAGAAGTGCCCAGCACCTTGGGTGAAATATTCAGTGACACAAGTAGCCCAAGCTTCTGGACGCTTATGCATGAGTATGCTGCTGCGCCCGGTGCAGATCTTGTAACCATGAGATCCCAAAACTCGGACGCCAAAGCTGCCGAGAGAGATCAGCGAAACCCCATTGTTACCCCTCCATGTGTGTATTTACATATCGTTTTAGAAAAAAGCACGTCGTGGTGTGTTGTGTCACCCCACTAAAATTTAGTTCCATCTTGTCCAAGAGGTACACCATAGCAAATTTAACAATAGCTTTGGACACCAGCGGTGACAACACGCCGTCGCACACAGCCCGGAAGGGGTTATTCCATCTGACTCCAGCAATGCGAAACGTCGAGAGAACAATCCCAATTTACAAGTATAACCATGCCTTTCCACCAGATAGACCCAACATCATGGAGACTGTCACAAGCCAGCCACCCTGCATGGACTGGTTATAAGATTTTTACTTCTAAAGTTATCTATTGATGGATAGATAAAGTTATAATTGCATCCTCTGCTGGTTTATAATAGAGGATTATGGCAATGTGTCGTGATTGTTTTTTAATTTAAATCTTTGCTAACACATAATTAATATTTCATCAATCAAGCTCTGTTGTTGGGAATGCGTTAAAAAATATGTTTAAAACAAGATTATATTCCTTTATTAGTTTCTAAGTTATTATTATTGATTCATGCTAATACTTGACACTTTCCATTATGATTCATCACCATCTGCAGGCAGTTATTAAGTTCCCTACTTAGAGCTTGGTCTCATCAAATAGCTGCTTAATGATGTTATGGTATTGATTATCTATTTCCTTCCTTCGAATTTTAAGTGTGGGCGTCATAAACCCATTATCCGGTGTCCACTCATCATCCAGGACGCAGACACGCCTTACACACTCGAAGGGCTTCAAGCCATTTTTTTTTGCCAGCTCTACGAGTGACTCCACTACAGCGGCGAGAAATTTAGAGTTTCCTAAAAGTTCCTTATATTCGCAGTCAATTTTAGACTTTTTGGCAAATTCCAGGGCTTGAGTTTTTCCAGTGCAAAGAAGCGCACAGATGTAGTTTCTGTGAGGGTGAACCACAACGCAGACACAATTGTTGACCACCAGCGGATGATTCGCGTAAATCGACTCGAGGATTTCAAGTGCAATGTACTCCCCCAATGAGTTCTTTGCTAACGCCTTGATGCGCCCGATCAGAATAACACGGCCTTTGCTGTCGATGCTGCCCACATCACCTGTGTGAAACCATCCATCCTCATCTATGGCCTCCTTAGTGAGCTCCGGCTGCTTGTAGTAGCCCTTGAAAAGGAAAGGCCCACGCAGGCAGATTTCTCCACGGGGTCTAGGCTTGTCCGTGTGCTTATAGTCTTCGACGTCCACAAGCTTAAATTCGACTGACCTCATCAATTTTCCAATGTTGTCTGGCGTAAGGTCGCCTAATACCTGCGTGGCGCCGCAGCAAACCGTCTCGGTGAGACCCCAGCCTTGAATAATAAGCGGAGTCCCGAAAACGACGTTAACGAACTCCTGCGTGGCCGCCGAGAGCGGGCCGCCACCACAGAGCATGCCGTACAAATTTCCGCCAAGCATCTCACGGACCTTTGAAAAAGCCCTCTTATTCCAGAAGGGTGTTTCCCGACCATTGAGAAGTGCGTCCCGTCGACTTTTGTAGGCTTTCTTGAAGATTGCGTGACGGATGGTGCCCGGTTTTGGGAGCTTCTCCTCAATCGCCTTCCGAATGGCATCAAAGACGCGTGGTACCCCAATGATCATCAATGGCTTGTACTCTCGTAGATCACCGTGGGGAATGGCGAAGTTATCCGTCAGTGTCCGCGGCGAGCTGAAGCAAACAACCACACCGAGGTCAAGACAGATATTCACGATGGAGAACTCCAAAATATGTGCCAGCGGGAGGTACGCGCAATATGTCCCGCCAAGGGTATTATTTGGGTATAAAGCCAGCGTGCGTTCTTTGAGCGCTGATATTCCAGCGCACAGGCTGCCATGGGTGTGCACGATCCCCTTCGGGTTGCCCGTGGTGCCACTGGTAAACATCACAATCGCCTCTTGGTTTTTGTCGTCAGGGATAAAAATCCGAGTATCATTCATCGCCTGACCTCTTTCTAAAACGTCCTTCCAGGCGACTGCCGTAAAACCGTCTAAATCTACATCATCAGCAAGGTTATCCAAGTATATGATCATTGGTGTCATCCCACGTTGCTTGAGCAGTTTGGTCAGTAGTGGAATTATTTTAGCATTGCAGATAATCGCAGCACTGTTGGTTTTCTCTATCACGCGTAGCAGCGCGTTTTCGCCGAGGTTAAGGTATACCGTCGAGGCAAGCATTTTCTGCAACCAGATGCCATATATACTAACCATCCACTCCCAACGTGTGTCCTCGTGTATGGAAATCACGTCGTTCGGTTTGAAGCCCAACGACACTAAGCCTTTTCCAAAACTTTCCATACGGCTCCACATCTCCCTGTATGTTATATTCTGACGAGGCCCGCAGTGATAGTATTCAAAAACTCTGGACTTTCCATTCTCGTCGAACGTGGTGCGTTTTTCCACTTTTATAATCTCGCGCTTCGAGAACGCAATGTGATCGGGGCTTTCCTCTACACGTTGCTTGATACACTGGACCCTGTTGGGGCCATCCCAATACTCCCTGGCCACCTCTGCCTGCTTCTCCATGTTGAAGCCAGGGAAAAGATAAATGGGACTACTCTTGTCAGTCTCCGTACCTGTCTGTGGGGACGACTCGTCACCATGATTTCGATATTTTTTGATGATAGGATGCGCCTTCATGGTGCAACGATTGCACAGGTCCATAATAGAGGCAATTACTCCTCCCATTATTATATTTTATTAACTTTTGTAAGTTAACCCTTTTTTCTTTACTATGCGTAATAATTAGGAAAATGTGTAAAAAAAGCTTGAAAACTAACAAGAGATAGATAAAGGAGAGATAATCTGAGCGTGTGTGTAGGAAGTATGAAGATGAAATGAGAATCACGTACTTTTTGTGCTCACAACTGCCTTCGTTCTCGACCAATTTGAGTGGTAATGCATTAGCCGCGTAAAAAAAGTGACACACACATCGTCATATGAGTGTCTAGAATCTCTCTAAGAGAATATTCGCGAGAGTAGAATGAGTTATGCTTGAGTTCGAAAAGGCGAAGCTCACCTTTGTACCTTTTTAAAAATGTTATTCTTGGTAGTGATGCCATCGTATAGACTCAAGCGCTCTTGCGGTGTTCTTCTTCTTGCCGGCGGGAATCAACAAGCCGCATCGGGGCTCTAGCGTACCCACGGTCGCAAACGAATTTGAAAGACCGCTTCACCTGTGAGATCGGAAGCGTCGTGGTCAGACAGTGCCACAGATGACTGAGGAGAGGTATGCCCGTCACTCTAACAAGGGGAGTGCCCTGTAGATGAGCACTCTCAGTTCCGCATTATTGCCGCTACTCGTTGGAAGTGGTGATCACTTCAGTCTATACTATGAGTATTTCAAGCGTTATGCAATAACAAAAAACACTTCAAATATACAGCTCATGGACAAAAAAATAAAGAAGTTGATATAATTCCATTACGCAGGGCATTGTAATGGACCACTATTAGAGTCCATCTATCCTGCATATACATATATATATATGTGTGTGTTCATATATATATGTTTATTTATAAACCCCCTTAATTATAACTTTTACTTTACAAAATCACGTGTTTGATTATACCACACACGCATATTCACCTTTAAAGAAATTATGATTATTAGCCCACTTATTTTAATCATGCATATAGGGTCAATTTTGAGAGCTTTTTTGCTTACTTTTTCTCGAAAGCTAAGTGAGAATAAACTGAACAACGTTCGCCCATCACCACCACACAGAAGTTGCATATATCACTTAAATACCCTGTAACTCATCAAAAATGCAATTGTCCGCATGATTTTTTCTTTTTACCAATATAAAAACGATGATGTGTCTGTAGGGCTTTGCTTTATAGATGAAATTACAAAAAGAAAAGAAACAGTCAAAAAAAAAAAGAAATAACGGATGTTGGGGAAATACGGACGGGTTTGTTCCATCTTTAGATATGACTGGATTATGTAGATATATATATCGATGAAGATCGATAAATAAAATGGCAAAACAGAAACACCGTCCAATGTGAAAAAAAGGGTAATTGTGTGTGCTTGTATTCAAAAAAAAGCAGGATGGTATGCATATTGCTCCATTGTATTCCTTTACTATTCTGACATATTATTGACCAACAAAAATGTGTGAGAAAAGCGTAGCAGATATACCAATTTTTTTACCTTCGTTTCAAACGACATTTAGTCTGAAAACAATTCGCGAATTATGTCAGCGTAGTGTTTATCAATACCAGAGCGACGAATTTTCGATGAGGCTGTCAAAAGTCCGTTCTCTGCCGTCCACTCATCAGCTAGGGCACGCACTCGCTTGACGTGTTCAAAGCCCACTTTTCCCTCCCTTTTGGCAAGATCCACCATGGAGCTTGTGACGGCGTCCAAGAATTGAGAGCTTTTCAAGATGCCAGGCCAGGAACCAGGGATGTTGCGTTCTTTAGCGAAAGCCATCGCTTTGGATTCGTCCGTCAGCACCAACGCACAAATGTAGGGTTTCTGAGCGTCCACAAGAATGCAGACCCCATTGGCGATCGCAATGGGGTGTTGACAGTATAGAGCTTCGAGATTCTCGAGCGCGATGTATTCACCAAGAATATTTTTGGCAAGACCCTTGATGCGGCCTATAATACGCATGTTTCCGTCTTTTGCATCGAACTCAGCGATATCACCTGTGCGTAGCCAGCCATCGGGCATCAACACCTCTTTAGTGAGCTCCGGTTGCTTGTAGTAACCCTTGAAAAGGAACTTGCCACGCAACAGCAGCTCGCCGCGCGGGTTGGGCTTGTCCGTGTGCTTGTACTCATCAACGTCCATCAGCCGGGCCTCGAGACCTTTCAGTAGTTGACCGGCAACGCAATCGAACTCACCGAATCGCTGAACACTCGCATTGCAGACAGTTTCCGTCATACCGTATCCCTGAACCACTGGCACCCCGAGCACGACGTTCAGCCACTCCTGCGTTTTGTCAGCGATAGGAGCGCCACCACAGCAGATGCCACGCATTCGACCACCCCAAAGTGCACGAGTCGTCTTAAAAACAACCTTATTCCAATACGGCGTGTCTTTTCCACTCTTGAGTGCCTTCAGTCGGCTTTCGTAGGCGGCATCAAAGATGCGCCGTTTGAGCGTCCCTGGCGGTGGTAGGAGCCCTTCCACAGTCTTTTTGATAGTCTCGAACACACGCGGCACACCACTCATCATGAAGGGTTTATAAAGGGTAATGTCCCCGCACGGTTTTGCATAGGTGTCTGTCAACGTCCTCGGAGAACCAAAGCACAACAATGCGCCTCTCAAAAGCATGATGTTCTCACAGATGAACTCAAATATATGTGCGGACGGCAGGTACGCTACGTAGCTATCGCCCTCCTCTTCCCCAACAAGCTCCGAAAGTCGATCATTGATAACGTGGACACCGTGGGTTAGGGCGCCTATAGAGTGCTCGACACCTTTCGGATTGCCTGTGGTGCCGCTGGTGTACATGATAAGCACAGTGGTATCATTATTGCTTGGTACCCCGTAAGACACCGTGCTTTTCATCCCTCTCTGAACTACATCCATCCAAGCGTAGGTCTGGTAGTTGGACAGGTCTGCCTTGCCGGAAAGTTCATCAAGGTAAATGATAATCTTCGTGGGTACGCCATTGTCCAAGATGCTCACTAACTTGTCAATGTTCTTCCCATTGCAAACTATCGCGGTGCACTCAGTTTCCTTTAGTGCGTAGTGGAGTGCGTCGCTTCCGAGATTGGCGTAAACGGTTACCCCAATCATATCTTGTGTCCAAAGCCCGAACATGCTTGTGAGCCACTCCCAACGAGTATCCTCATAGATAGCAACCTTGCTCGTTTTCTCGATCAGAATTTCCACGAGACCCATGCCAAATGCTACGATGAGCTTCCATAACTCTTCGTATGTAATGCTTGTAGGTGCATCCAAGTGTGTGTACTCCCAGACCCTTTCCTTTCCCTTAGCATCGATTTTTTTTTCATTCGTTACTTTGTTAATTTTTCTATAGGAAATGACGTTCCGCGTGGCGCGTTCGTTGCACATGCGTTCTAAAGACTGCAGGATGTTCTCACCAGCATAAAAATCATTTGAGAAGGACTCATGCTCCTTGTCACTAAGTTTTGCATAACGGTAAATGCCGCTGCAATCAGCCTCGTCTGGAGTTACCTTTTTATTAACGCAACCGTATTTTATGCGGTTCGCGTAACACTCGGAGTCCTTGAGGGAGATATTGTTTCTCCACTTCATGGCAGAGACTAAGCAGACACCCATTTTTTATTCTTTTTACTAGTTCTTTTTTATTCGTGAAATACTACGACACAGAGGGGTCAAGACGTCTTGTGCTTACCCGCTTAGGTTTGGTTAGTTCTAAAGATTGAGATGCTTATCTTTTTCTCTTGGTAGTGTTTACACATTTTTGTTTGTGAAAGTAAACATGTATGAGATGTACGATCCGGAAAAAAAAAGAGATGAGTACCAAAAAGGACGAAAGTAACTGAAACCAGAGCTACCAAGCAGAATCTACCCTGATAGATACACGAGGGTTGGCTTTCTGTAGTGTGCTACCCTCCATCATGAGTATTTACCTAATTAAAAAATACGACGATATAAATTAATTATGTAAACATATATATCATAAATGAGTTCAATTTTCACTGAGGGAATAACTCGTCTAAAGATATATTTCCAGTAAAATAAACAGAAACAATTAAAGGGAACGTGCACAATATATTGCACAAAAAGCTTTAAAAATGATACCAAATAATCATAGCCTGTCAAAAATACACCTTTAAACTGGTCAAACGGCATCGCTAAAAAGGGAAAAAAAGATACAGCATATATTTTTTTTCTCTCTTCATCAAAGACTCCACGCTACGATACTATTAATAGGGTTTAAAAAATTGTAAAAAAATTGTGGTTGCCTCCCTCTACCTTGTGGGAACTCTAAACCATGTCCTCCATCCAATTTAGATGATAAAGGTTCTTCATTCTTCCTTTTTAAGAGCCGTTAATAGAATTCATCCAGAAAAGAATATATTCCATTTTCTGCACCTGATTTAGAACTGGAGCTCCTAGCCTGAGTTTAATATATCCATATAATATATATATACATACATGCATATATATATATATATTGATGGATAGATAGATAGATAGATGAATGGATAGATAGATAAATCGATAGACATTATATTCATTTTCTTGAACGCCTCCAAATTCGATATTTGGAGCCAAGCCTGCTCAACTATTAGTCTTAAAACGTGACAGTATAGCTGGAAGAAAATTGTATAAAAGAGGATTGGGACGGCGCGGCACATGACAAACACGCAGCCAAGCTGTGAATGTGTGTCTAAAGGAGAGGAAAATGATACCCTTGTACTTTGCTAATGCAAAGGTATTCTCTCCCTTTCCTTTTCATTACATTTTGCTGCATTTGGTACATGTATATAAACAAATAAATGATAACCAACCCATAATAAGTGAAGAAATTGTATGCCCTGTCAGAAGTGATAAGCTAGCCCTTCCTTACTTTTTTACCTAGTTCTTCCTACGCGCATATACACATCTGAAAATTTTTTTTAAATGTTTCAACCACATTTTTGCTATAATATTTATCGAGTCGATAGATATAAGGACTACCGTTATATTATATCAGATCCACATATATGGCAATGAAAGAATTAAATTTGCGACAATAATAGTCATGAAAATGCATGCATAACCCATTGTATTTCACTTTAGACAAATAAAAAAGCTGGATAGGCCGGTGAAGTAAACAGATAATCACAAAAGCAGTTTCACACCCTATTCCTGAAGAAGACTCATACAATTAATTTTATTTTACCTCCTTACAAGAGGATACCGTTTATAGGTGAAAGGAAAGGTGACTCAACACCGCCTGCGCCCCCATGGCAGCTACCGCACATTTGTAATATTGTCTCCCTTATCCTGCGCTGCAAGTCACCACTCATGTCAATACGCAAAAATCGATATTACCTCCTCATTACAAAATAGAAGCCGTAGAACCTAATATAGACAGACAAAAAAGCGGAAAATTTGTACGGTTAAATTTGCCAACGGGATTAAGAAAGAGGGAATGCACACAAATCGCTGAATCCTGAGACGACTAGGTACACCCCATATTTAGTTTAATTATTCTTACTCCTAGATTTTTCCCTTTCCGCCTTATATGTCAATCTCTTCAATGAGTTATTTAACCACTATCAGAAGTCTTTAGCCAAGGGAACGCCGACATCATGCACGTTTAAGAAGTTTCACCTCTTTTTGCTGATTAAAAAGTAAATTGCGCTATGATTTGAAATTTTGTTTCCATTTCTCCATTCTGGAAGAGTGGTGCGGCATCTTTTTTTTTACCCGAACTCCCGAAAAGTTACATAAATTCACTGTTGAGTACACATGCCGCTTTTCTTTGCGGCCGAATCGTTAACCCTTGAGTTAGAGTCCGGTTCCACTGCTAGGTCAACTCCGTCTGGGGACTGTGGCATGTGTGAGGCGCTTCCACTAGTTGGGCTAGATTCGTCCCTCGTAACCTTATCATCGCTCTTTGGAGATGTGGCCTTGACAGACCCATGGTTTGGCTTCGATGTATCCATCACGGGCGCATGGGCTTCGGCAACGGTTGCAGGCGCCTCGCAGGGGGTCTGGGATGTAGGAGGAGGCGCCGCGTCATTCTTCGGGCTGGTGCTAACACTTTCCTCCAAACCCTGCGCATCTCCGGCTTCTACGGGGGTTTTCTTGTGTCTCCTGGAGTTTCTTTTCTTTGGCTCCACGGGTACAACAGAATCTTTGTGTTCCGCCGCCGGCTCCACCGTCGCGACGGTTGTGGATTTATTGTTCCGCGACTTCTGCTTTCGGTTATTTTTTGCTGCCGCCCCCTCTTCGGGTTGACCGGCGCGCGTTGAATTTCCTTTCCGAGCGTTTGATTTATTCTCATGGCTTTGGTTGCAGGCATTGCAGACAAAGTTGCCCTTCTGGGACCCTCGTGTCTCACGATCACCCTGGCTGAACTCGCCGCAGTAACTACAGAATCCGTAGCCGGTCTTCGCCCAGCAAGAGTAACAGTAGTACTTCCGGTCGCTCTTATCCATACGGAGATCGTCGCGCTGTTTTTTGCGATGGCATTGCGCACAGTAATGGGTGTGAGACGCTAACGGGGCTTCCTTCACATTCGCCTCGTTTAGTGAGCCGGCATCCTTATTCACCGATGCTACCACCGTTTTGGCCACTGTCAATGTCGTCGGTGGCTTTTCCGCAGGGCTTCCCTTGCGCACAATGTGGAGGGAGGGCACGATGCTTGCCAGCAATTGCAGCTGCGTAGGGGCCTCCGCCGGGGGGGCGATCGCCTGCGCCGCACTCCGCGCGAGCATCTCCGACGCATTAGGGAAGTGTGCACCGAAGAAGTGCTCCTGAGTCGTAGGCTGATGCATGGGAGGGGGGGGCACCCGGGTTGTGGAGCCATCCGAGGCTAACAGGCGCGTCGCGATCCCGTAGGACGGCGGGGGCGGTACATTCAAAGAATCCTCGGGCTTAGCAATTGCGGTGTTGGACACCACGAACTGCTCCGCAATCAACCACGACACGAACTGCGCGCGCGAGATCAAACAGGATTGGAGCAGCTCTTTCACGTCATGGAGATAGTCGGGGCGCACGAGGTCATAACGGATGCGGTTGAAGGTCCAACCCTGTTGAGGGCTGATCTGGAGGCAACAGGTAATGATACTGCCCCGGACCACATCAGCGTGGCAGATGTCGATAGTGGCGGACTCGTACTGCACGTACTTCTTTTCCAACTTGTCATACACCTCAAGGGCGTAGGTTCGGTATGAAGGCCCATAGGAGTCGTCCACGCCTTGACGGTATCCAAGAGGCGTATCTGTCTTACTTTGAAGCGCCGTGTCGGCATTGATTGAGGGCTCAATGGAGGACCCCTGGTTATCATGTACGCGGATCAAGGAACCTACACGGAAGTCTACGGTAATGGAATCGGGTGGGCGCCAGAGCAATACATGATCGGTGCGATGGAGTAGTTGAATGGGTTGCAACACGAGGCCCTCCATAGGGAATTCCTTTGAGTCCAGGATATTCAACACGTTGGAGATCTTGTGTGTAGTTTGGTACGCAATCAAGCAATCTACCTCATCGGTGAAACTCACCTCTTCTTCGAGGAGGAGATACTTTTTGAGGATCACCTGGCGCTCATCCCACAACATGCGCATGGAAATATTATTAGATGGCTGATTTTTCTCGCTCCAGAAGATCACGTCATACACAAGGAAGATTTCCTTATGACGATTCCTTGTAGAGTGCGTGAGGATACCCTCTAGCACAAAGGAAGCAACATTTTCGAGACTCTTCCCGGCCCAAGGTCTCCCTGTCATCATGAGCACTGCCCGCATATGGGACGGGATCAAGTACATCTTTTCGTTCACGTAGAGTAAGAGGTAATGGGTGCCTTTGGGTTTCTGTCGGACACCGTAATGAGTCTTGATGGCGTTTACACGCGCCTTGTCAGTCATTTCCTTTGTTGAAAAGGGCACTAATTGGGTTGAAGTTGGGAACTGGAAACCTCGTACGCTAACGCACTCAAACAGCGCGGTCATGACGCGATAGTACTCCTCGTAGGAGTCTACAATGACATTTGCACGCGATTCTTCGTAGTAATGGGTCCGAATCCCCCTCGTTAGCGGCTGCGCGCAGAAGCCTAGTGCCATTGTGCGCAGACTCAGAACCACCTCCTTCTTGCTTTTAGAAGCGTCTACAACGCGGTACATGGACGCCATCTTCGCCAAACTCGTGACCCGTGCGTGAATGACATGGTGGTATTTGAGCTTCTCTCGAAGCTCCTCGCCGCCACCCATACGCTCGATAAGAATATCGTCGTCCGCGCACGCCATCCCGATGATGCCTACAAAAGGGATGTTCTTCGACTGAAGAAGCATCGTTAGGTAGTAAAGGTCCTCGATACCCCTTAGATTCTTGTCAATTATGAGACCTTTGATGGTGCGGTGCTGCCTCTGCTGTTCTAAGAGCGCATCCAGACGCTTACTGAGTGCATCAAAGACCTCTTTTGTCTTCTCCCATATGGAGTGCTTCGTAGACCCCTCTAGAAGAAAATCCGCTCCGGAAAAGAAGGTCCACCCTAAACCATCTGCCTTGAGACTGTTAACGAGCTCATGACCAAGGGTGGTCTTACCCACCGCAGGCGGGCCGGAGAGCAAAACGCAGGAAAACTTAGGCGGCTCCTTGGAGTTAAGCGCACTCAACGAGGCGTTTCCGACGCTCACTTTCGCCTGTTGAGGGGTCATGGGCTGTGGGAAGCCCGGGGGCGGCATGGGGAGGCCGGCTACCGGCGGCGAAGGCGCAGCTAAGGGAAAGCCCAGAGCCTGTGGGGCGAGGCCGGGCGGGAAGACCCCCCGCGGTGGTGGACCCGTCGCCATCGCACCCGGCGGAGGCATCGGGAAAGGTACGGGCATCATTGAGACTGACATCGGCATCGACAGCTGCATCGGCATCATCGACGGCGGCATCTGAGAGGTCATTTGAGGGGGGGGTATTTGGGGAGGCATTTGTGGGGGCATCTGAGGTGGCATTTGCGGAGGGGGCATCTGTGACATTTGGGGGGGCGGCATCCCGGGATGCAAAAACATGCCCGGCTGTTGCATGAAATTTAGACCTTGTGGTTGCTGCTGTGCTGGACCTGGTTGTGAGCCTGGGAAAAAAACGGTGCTGACCGACAAGGGCAGTAGTTGAGGCGGTGGGGGAGGCGGCGGTGGCATTAAATTGGACTGTGGGGGATACGATGGGGGTCTTTTCTTCCCAGGGATCTCCTTCGGCTGTGCTACGAGAGTCGCAGGGGGGTCTTTTGGCTTGCACGCAGGAGTGCGGAGCAACGACTCACCTGTAGCCATGGATCCATGTGGCATGAATGACTTCGCATTGACGTTAAGCTTCGTGAAGTTGTCCTTTGGGGGATCAGCCTCGCATGGAGTAGAGTGCTTCTCTACCTCTGCTGGCTCAGGGGTCTCAAGAGAAGCCGGCGGCTGTGGGAGAGGCTCAGTGGTTTGAGGAGGCTCCATCAAAACACACGCACCCCCTTTTTGCAGTGACTAAAAATATAACAGAACGCCTCGGGGTCGATTTTCGATCCCTTCTCCCGTCCGTCACGGCACAATTCAAATCAAAAAGCAAAGAGCGTTAGCAAATTACGATACCCAACTAAGGTACGACTATGACTATGACTATGACTACAACCTAATCCCTTTTTACCACGGAATCCTCGCACGCGGAATGCGTTGCAGTGAGACAGCACCCTATAGATATTTTTTTTGACCTTGCGCGTTGGCTCAACCTATTTTTTTTTATTAGATATAGGAGTAATTGTGGCTATCTCAACTCGACACTTCCTACCCTTCTCCTCTTAAGTTTCTTTTAAATTGTAGTTGTTTACCTTTGTGAATTATAGTTTGTTCAAATTGAATACTCAACAAACTGGTAAAAAAGATTAAGGGGGAAAAGGGTATCAAAGAATATTTAGCATTCTTATTCACTTGATAGGGGTGTGAGAAAGGGACAGATCATGCAAGTCAAATGAAGGCCGTAAAGGAAAGGAGGGGGAATGAAGCGATACCGATCAAGTAAATATCATGCAAAATGCATGATATTTACGCATATATGTACGGAAAGATAAATAACATCACACGCTACTATTAATTAAGCTTGGTATGATATGATGCATACAAAAATATATAAAGGAGCATAAGCTTAATGTTCAGAACAATACGCATGACTCTTTAAAATGCGTGAGGAAAAATGCATAACTGCAGGTATTATTTCCAGATAATTGGCTCTCGTCTTTTGTGATTTTCTTTAAGAAGTTTCATTGGGTTGGAAAATCACTGACAAGCATTGATAAGATTAAGCATAATTTATACTCATATTGATATGCGATGAACTAGAATAATGGAGTCCTTCGAGTCGGGAAAAAATGAAACTCTAAACGTTCTGATCTTCAGAACAATGCCTATGACTCAACAGTGACGAGTATCCAGCTTTAAAATCAATAGTGGCGATAAAAGTAAGGATTATATAGGCATATCTAAACGTGAAGACTAGCGTAACTTGTGTATTTTAAGACCTCGATTCTCTTCCCCTCAATCCTTCAGAATACGCACAAATAAAAATAGAAACAAGAAATAGCTACACTCTAAGAAGGCTAGGCAGATCCAAAGTATTTTTTTAGTATTAAATGATAATAGTAGAGAAACTAGACATTAAACTGACCTTTGTCATCTTTTTTAGGAGAGCAGAGTTCAGAGCTTAAGAGCACCTTGACCCCAGCAGCGCGCATTTCTTCCATTGCTTTCCCTCCAGACTCGTCCGACAGGGCCTGACAAAGGTCTTCCAACACAAGTACCTCAAAACCGCAGGAAACCGCGCTCTTTACAGTTTCAAAGACGCAGTAGTCCAGTGCGATCCCACACACCACCACGCGCCTAACGCCCAGGGAACACAGGAGTCCCTCTAGCCCCGTCGCACCACCGTTGGTGTCGAAGAAGGCCGAGTAGCTTTCCAGCTCCGCCAGGGTGCCCTTGCGTATGATCGCTTGCAGGTAGGCCTCGTTGAGGTCGGCGTGCAGGGCGGCGCCGTGGGTGCCTCGAATACAGTGCACCGGCCACGGGCCCCCGTACGTCTTGAACGAGGAGTGGTTGTTGGGATGCCAGTCCTGCGTCCCTACGCATATCCGAAAAGTATGCTGCGAAAGCAGCTGGTTGATCTTGGGAATGAGAGCTTCGCTGTGAGGTACGTACAATGCGCCAGTCGGTAGGGCAAAGTCGTTCTGGACATCGACTACAAGTAGAGCATCGGTCTTCGGATTGATAGTTTCCATGACGACTGATCAGTTAGCAATTTTTATAGGAGTATTTTTTTGAGTTTTCTCTTCGACAAAATAACGAACGCTTTGAATAAGTGGAAAAGTAGTTGTTTTCCCTATCCCAAAGGAAGTATACAATTAAGACTAACATTACTAATAAGACCATTCAGCCATCATGTTCACAACGCATTTTATCGCGCAATGAAGCGGAAAAGGACAAGCATCAAAAGAAACCCCAAATACAGGAGTCACGCGCAATATGACTAGGGAAAGTGGGTCTGTTATCTCCAGCTTTCGTTTGTTTACTATCATCACCCTCTCAATCTCCCCTAGTTAATTCACACACAAAAAAAAACAAACACATCATTCAGTTCTAACCCAGCCAAACATGTCTTTTACCCACATGTTTTCATTGTCTTTTTGAGTACCCCGTCATCGCTTCGATCGCGTGCTGCGTCACCACTGCAGCGAAAGAGCGATCGTCAACTCCCACACCGCACTCTGCCAACCTTTTGTAAAGCGGGATGCAGCGCAGGGGAATTACCTGGAGTGCGCGCCGCCCCTCCTCAACACAGGAATCTTCCTTGGCATCGGTGCAATGGGGGCTTATTTCTCGGTGCGCTACACCGTGGCTAGACTTCAACTGTAGAAGTGACTTGGCTTGGGAGGGGGGGCCGCCTACAGTGCTCGTGACGGTAACATCAGCGGCCTGCGGAGGACTACCCTCACAGGTCTCCACTACTACGGGAAAATCGGTGTCTGCATGCCTTTCCATGCCGCTACTGGAACAACGAACACTGCGGCCTGCGGGGGCCTCTCCTGCCACAGTGACAACCCTTTCATACTCTCGGTTCCCCTCTGCGTGAGTGCCAACCATACTTTTGATTGACGTAGACTGGGATAGAGTATGTTTACGTAATGGAGCAGGCGTTTGTGAGGCACTCACGGATTCCTGTGTGTTACTGAGGGGTGATTCGGACTGCGTAAATGAGGCTAAATCCTCTTTTCGTGCGGGCTCCGGCACGAAGAGCTGCTTTTGTTGACTTTGAGAAGAAGCACTCTTCCTCACCGCTTTAGCTACGCCACCTTTAGACATTCACAATCCCAACTATAGTTTTGTCTCAATATACGCTAGCAAAATAAAGAAATATGTCCTCAGTTTAAGTATATTCATATAATTGTTAAAATCGGGATAAAAGAAAAAATGTTCATACATTTTTTGGATGGTTTCCTACAAATGAATTTCTTTACCTGAATTTCGACTCCCCAAATAACAACAATAGTTAGGGGGAAAAAACATCTTTGCTTTTTTACGGGCCACCCCAAAGTATGAAAGAGATCAAATAAAAGTAAGATGAGACGAAAAACAAAAGATGCATGCCTCCCCCCCACTGTGACTGGGCTGCTCTCGTGATTGGTTTTCCCCTCATAATATTTTAAGAGGGTTTTTCCTAATAACCTTTGACTCACGCCCAGAAGAGACATACACAAAACTCGATTCGTTTTAAAGGACTAGATGCAATACCAAGAGACAACACGCATCTCCACGTCTGATGATAGACTCGACCCTGATGCATACGCATTGAATCAATATCACAATGAAGTAGGTATAGCAGTAACTAATGCGAACACGCCACATTATTTCCCTGTCAACTTATCCAGTAGAGCAGCAATTTCCTCTTGGAGTTCTCTAGCGCGTTGTTGTTTCTCAATTCGAGATTTTTCGCCATGGATCTCCGCCTGGCGCCCGCGCTCTTCTAGCCTTCGGATACGACTTGTTAAACCGCCGTTCCGGTGAATCAGGAGCATCATCTGCTCGCAAAGATCCTCATGCGCAACTCTTTTTTGCTTTATCAAACTTTTTAAAGCCATTAAAGTGGTAATGAAGAGTTGTCGCACCTCTTCAACGTAAAGGTTTACGATCCTTACACGATCCTCATGTTCGGCCTCGACACACGCTTTTAGAGAACTGTTCGAATTCAATCCTCTAGCATGGCCCCCCTCGTCTTCCCTTGACGACAAATCGTTCGTTGCGCTTTCCGCCGTGGCACACGCTCCTCTAGAATAGTTGTGTTCTGGGGCGCGTGTACGCAGGGGTGGCTTTGCGTCGTTCGAGCTCACATCGGTAGAACCGACGCTTTTTCTCGAAGTTAGGGACTCATACCAAAGTCTCTGCTCCTCTAGCAGCGTGCGTAGAACATCAGCGTAGAAATGTTGTACAGCTTCTTCTTTACTTTCTGTAAGAGCGGCTTGGAGGTCTTGATCCCTCTCGTTCACCCATCGAGGGCTCGTGACCCAGCCTTCGGCCAAGTTGACATCTCCTCCTGTCACCCCAGCCGCGTCCTCCCCCCCATCACGGCTGCAATCCTTGGACAGGTCTGACACTTCTCTCTTCTCGTCATGCTCACCAAGGAGGAAGGAGACTTCTTGGGACAGGAACATCCGTGACCGGTGGCTCCAGACACGATTCGTACTACTTTGCCATGTGCAGGAGTGCCCCGTGTGGTCGTAATGGAGCTGTTGGTGGTTGTGCCGTCCACGACCACAACCCACGTGCCCACAGATGAGACAGACCCACAAATCCTCGTACGTGCGGCACTCCTCACAGCGCGCGTTGTTAAGGAGGTCGTAGAGAGAAAAGCGACAAAGAGGGCACTCCATGAAAGCAGACGGCACACACGCGTAGCAGGCCGTGTGGAAGGTGTGGTGGCAGAGGGTAATGACACGAGGCTGCTTGGGCGAGAGCTCCTCCTGGCAGATCGCGCAAAGCTCGCTGGCGCTACACCATGCAGAGCCACTCGTAGTCGTGGCGACCGCGCTGCCCGTCAAGGGGGTGCCTCGGCAGTTTGCACTCCCGAGGTTAGACAATGCCTGGGTGGCGGAGGGAAGCCGCAGGTCGGTTGGAATCGGAATGAAATCTGGCCCAGAAAGATTGGCGCAAATGACCTCACTCAACGACATTACGTAGCTGAGTTGCCCACTGTGCGGCAGGACAGGTGACGGTCCCTCGTCGTTGTCGAGGACCCGTTGCTCTACCCCAGGGCCCTGCGCACCTCTTGTGGATTTTGTACTTTTATAGGGTTTATCCATCAGAAGAGTCACTGCGGTACCGATCACACACTCCACCGGAGTAGTCGCCCCCAAGGCAGCGTCCTTTTCCAACACCATCTTCAAAAGGCTGGCCTGTTCGGCGCTACCACACTGCAAAATCATACAGTAAGCATGTATCTCGCTCAGGACATATCCTACCCGCGCCACGCGAATCCACGCGCCGCGTTCTACCTCCGTTGTCGTTAAACCTCCTTCTGAGCTCTCTATCTCAGACTTGGCCTGCCTTTCCGCCGCTAGGATGCGGTCAAGCACTCTGGAAAGACTCGCGCTCACGGGGATATTGTGGAGTAGGAGCCATTCGGTAGTGTGGTGCATGTTGTGTGAGGTTGGTGGTAGTAAATGTAGCTCTAAGGAGATGTGGGCATCGCGGTTAATCGCGATGATAGTGGTGTGGTCGATACATGTGGATATAGCAGTCTGGGGCCTTCCTGTGCTAGCGGGATGGCTCATGAAAGTTGAATATAAATAATAGCAAGCAGACTAATAACTCGAACTACTGCTTGTTGCTTCTTTCGATCAAGACAATATTCACAGTAGGTAGTTCAATAGTACTGTTGAGCAATTCAAACGTTTTATATTATACGAGGAATACGACATTCATAGAGTCTCCTATGCTCGATAGCAGACTAATAAGGGGTCGTGAGTGTAGTATAAATGCACGGCAGATGATTTTGTCACTTTGCACAATGTAAATTATTACCTAAAATTTTGATATATTGGTATATGTAGAGGACAAAAAAAATCGATTAAACGTAAGAAGAAGGAAGCGATGATATCTACAATTAGTAGCATTCACATTAATACGCATTCATGTGTATTCTTAAGGGAGAAGGGGCAACCATCCATAGCAGCTATCTTACTTTGTGATATAAAACGAGATGCCAGAAAAATTAGGAAAGGTAAAGCTGGTCCACTTGGGTCTAAATTCCGATAAAGAAATGTTAG